GTGGTGGATAATGACTTTATCTCTTTATCAACTCCCCGAAGCAAAACCCTTTTCTTCCATACAAAAACATCCTAGGAAAAACAAAGATATGTCGTGTGACATTAGGCAGACAGACAACTGGGGTAACGTAACGAAATTGTTGCAAGAATTGATCATACAAGTAATTGGATCAAAACAGCTTTGTTTGGTCATATCTTATTTGGCATTAGCTGGATTAGGCAATGTTAAGTAATTGTGCCTTTCATTCAAAGAAGTGTGCTGTGATTTCAAAACTCATCCATTTATAATGTATTTCTACGAGTCAATAAAAATTTACATGTTCGAACTGCCTGGAAATATAGAAAGGGAAAAATTCATAATTCAGGCATATGATTTACACCAATTCAAAATTCAAGTAGATAGTTTAAAAATTCAAAACTCATGTAGTAGGTAATTAATTAAAAATATTTATTAATTAAATATAATTAGGACAATTATACAATTAATGGTCACAGTTTTATTCGTAGGTTGCAAGATTATTTAATGGTCACATATCAAAAAATTTATAGGTCATAATTTATTCATCGGTCACAGATTTCAAAATTAATTGGTCACAAATTATTTAATGGTCACATATCCAAAATTTTGTAGGTCACATGGCCACAGATTTCCAAATTATTTGGTCACATATTATATAATTTTTATGTCAAACATAACAAAATGGTTGGTTACAAATTAACCAACACCCCGCTTCCACCTCTGATACAGATCCACCACCTTGACCGCTCACTACCACACCCAAACCAATCATCGCACACCGCCGCGCCCAAGCCAACTACCACCTCCATCAACAAAAATCACCACCGCCGCCAGATCCAACAAACCTTGTCAGATCCACCACTGCCACCAACAAAGCCGCCACCACTAAATCCACCCCAACATCACCACGACCACCAGGGTCACAACTACCACCAACATCACCACCACGTCACCATTACCGCCAACATAACCATCACTACACCAGCACCTGCAAATCCAATCAACAATAGCATCACAACCATCACTGACTCCTACAATCCATCATCTCATACAATACTACCACACCATAGCTACCAATGAAACCCCCAAACCTGTAACAATCACCAACAAAAACTCCCATAAAGTAGCATATCGAAGGAAGAAACCACCACAAAAATATCGCGGCGGTTGTGGTACAGCGTTCCCTACAGAGAGTAAGAGAGGCGGAGTTTGCCATTCGCAGCGTCATCGTCGTCGTTCAAGTCGCGACGCTGCCGTTGGCAAGCGGTGCTACGGAGAGGGGAGAGAGAAGGGCGGAGAGAGGTGAGGGAGAGAGGCGGGGGAAGTGAGGAGAGAGAGAGAGAGGGATGAGGGAGTTGAGAGTGATGAATTAGGGTTAGGATTTTGATATATTACCTAAGTTTTGAATAAATAAATATTGGACCTGATTTTTAAAAAACTATCTCTAAACCCCTAATTTTTTGTAATTTTCCATATAGAAATCCGATTAAAGCATTTGGGCTCAAATGGGATTTGATTGGGCGAATTACATTATGTACCCTCTAAGTTTCAGAATCCGCATTTACTACCAAAAGAATATAATTACATAAATATTTAATACACTCACAAAAATACATGTAGACGGGGGCAGAGTTGAGGGGGACGAAGAAAAATTTATACTGAATTAGCACGTAGAAATAAAAAAACCTTCAAAAAATGAATGGGTCTAAGCCCAAGCCCGCCCTTCCCTCCGGCCTTGCATGCAGATGACAAACAACAGTGGCAAGTCCAACACATTGTTGGACTCATCACTTGACCCC